GCCGGAACAAACAGACCGACAGACAGACAGACAAAAATTATAAAAATTGTTATTTTGGTATATGTACCTTATATATATTCATATGCATGTAGTAAAAAACGGTTATTTCAATATTACAAACAGACACTCCAATTTTATTTATATGTATAGATTATTATTTATTTATTTATTTTTTCATCCAAAATAATACAAATTGTGTAGGATAACGTAATAGTAACATTACAGTAAAATTTTGTCAACAACATAATAGCAACTTAAATATTAAATCTCGGTATATCTATAGACTAGCTGGCCCCAGCGACTTCGTCCGCGTGAAATTTTATTTTATTTTTCTAAAATAACAGTAGCGTAAGTTACTCCTTATTACATCAGCTACTTGCCAAAAAAAGTCACGTCAAAATCGGTCCAGCTATTTCAGAGATTAGCCGGAACAAACAGACAGACAGACAGACAAAACTTGTAAAATATGTTATTTTGGTGTATGTACCGTATTTATATTCATATGCAAGTAGTAAAAACGGTTATTTCAATATTGCAAACAGACACTCCAATTTTATTTACATGTATAGATGTATAGATTAAAAAAAAAGTAACAGTCATAAGGCTAGTCGTATGCCTAATATATATAATAATGTAATAAATTCATTTAAACAGAAATTGCGGCAACATTATTTAAATTTGTAACTTTTTTACTGTCCTTCTCCATTTTTCACATCTTTCTGTTATATCCCTATAGTTCTCTCTATATTTTCTGTTTTTCTTACTTTCAATTTGAGACTGTACTTATAATTTGATTATCAGATCATTATGTATTTATTTATATATAATATTTATACATTTATGGGTTATATTTAAATGAATTTAATCGATAAAATCGTTGTTAAGTATTAAATTAATTGTAAGTGATATTAACTATTATATTATGCATAAAAAATATTTGTAATAATAAAGAAAATACATTTAAAATATTTTACTTGTTGTGTTAGTTATTTATAAGATCTTACTATAATTGTTAGCTGCTTTACAATTTAGAAAGTACAATAGGTAATGTAAATTAAAATTAATTGAATACTTAACAACGTTTTGTTCGATTAAATTCATTTAATTATTAAAATAGTTAATTTAAAATTAGAATAAAGACAAAAAAAAAATAACAAAAAAAATCGGTGGCGGGAATCGAACCTTGAGCGTCCGTTTGGTAAGTTGATTCAAAGGCTTATTAAAATCAAAATTCAAAATTCAAAGTTACTGGTCATTTTGAAATAATACTAAGGGTTCGCATACCCTTATCGGATACTACTACTACACGGAGTTTCGTCAAAATAGAATATCTAGGTTAGGTATAATAAATTCATAATTAATAGACCGTTACGGTATCTGTATATACTCGGATCAAAACAAGTACTATGAAATAAGAACGAATATATAAATTGATTAACACAAGTAATTGATTTTTGAAATATATTCAGAGCCAAAAAGTCTTCTTTCTTTATTTATGTACTTGTTAGATGCGACAGCGACTTTGTTTTATACTATACTATACTATGTAATGATTGATATACCTAAAATAAATAAAATATCTGAGGTTTGGACAAAAACTCAAAGGGTAATTTATTTTGAAAAAGTATTTTGAAAATACCTATTTTGCTTTTAGTGTTATAGTACTTTAACTGTTATATTTTAAGTAACAATGTTTAATTATAATTAATACTACTGCACCAACACTCCGATCGTGCAAAAAAATTTGCTGTTTCATTATTTTTTAGTTCAATTAGTGGTCTACCTAAGTTCTGGGCTACGGGGGGGGGGAGAGTCATGACGCCCCCATGACTCCCATCGACCTCAATGCGGACCCCCCCTGGATCCGCCGTTACGTCTTCTCTTCATTCGCTCAGTAACGTTGTTACTAAAGGAAAAATTCCCGTCCAAAAAATAACAAGTATTGAGGTTTGATCTGGAGTCACGTTCCTCTAGACTGATTTCTATAAATATTTAGATTAGATAGACTATTATTCTTGAAATACTATCTAGACATTATTAAGTTACTGTAGCCATAATGTAGTAGTCCAAACGTGCCAATGAGGAAGCCCTTGGCAAATGCTGCACCCTGATTGGCCCGTTTGAATTGGATCAAGAAGTGGTCGAATGCCAAAAAGGTGGATTTGTATAAAATCGTGTATAAATCGCTTAATTATTATTATTACTCGTCGTGACAGTTGTGGCTCAAAAAGGATCAACATTTATATATCGTCAGCTGGCATTAGATCAACAAAAGGCCTCCGGATCAACAAGTGAAAAAGGATCAACAAAAAACTACCTATACGGCACGTCTGAGCCACAAAGTGCCCAAGGGGATATTTATATATATATATATATATATATATATATATATATATAATATTTATTTTAGCATGCCAAGACAAAAGTACAGTTATGCTACAAATAAAAGCTACCTACCCTGCTGGACTATGAAAAGCACAAGAGCATGGTATTTCGTCACACTAATGGCAATTAATTGTTAAAATTAAAAAAGAGAACATTTTAGTATTTTTAAAAATAACGCTTATCTGAGAGAAAAATGTAAGAAAATGTAAACCAATTTTACTCTATGTTTATTTTGTAGTTTTTTTCTAAATTAAAATAGGGTTATTGTTTATAAAAATACCATTATTATTTTTACGTACATTTGTCTTGTGTTATATAGTGTATATCATCTAGTATGCAATGTGGATTGTAAATAAATTACAAAATTATATATAAATTATATTCCTTAATGTTTAGAGATATTTTATCCAATTTTATTTTATTTTACACAATACAGATATTTCTAAATTGCAGCTATTCTGTTATTATACTCGTTGGACTTTCATTACTGTACAGTTATGTCAAATAATTGTACAGAAAAGTCAACAACATTATAAATGTTTTTATTTAGAGACTAGCTTTTAGCTCGCGGCTTCGCCCGCGTGAATATGGGATATATTGGTTATCGCGCGTTTAAAGATCCGTGTACAGGATTGGGACGTTATATATAAACCTTCCTCTTGAGTCTATCTATTCTGTCTATTAAATAACAACGAATCAAAATCTGCGTAGTTTTTTAAGATCAAAATATACAGATCTATTACATGTGTAGATGATATTTTAACCGGAAATTGAAGCCGTTAAAATGGTATTGGAAGATCCGTTGGAATCATCGGTATTCTTGGTATATAAGCTGGTTGCCCAGCTAACGTACCGGTTATAATGGTCTACAATTAAATTGTCTTTCAATTCTTTAGTAAGCAATATATCCAATGGGACGCCATTGCACATGTTCGGCGGGCTTAAATTTCATGACTGGATCATGCTTTTGAGAAATTCCTTCCTCAAGTTTGAGCATTTAGTGTGGGAAATCACTATCTGTGCTTCCATAAAAATGAGCTCTCAAATTTGTCAGTAGTTTTAAACTTTCAATTAAAGTCCATAAGGGAGACGATGTTAATGACACAGAGAGTCTTTCAGAAATCTCCAGCAAAAGTATAAAAGTAATCCCGCCAATGAGAGCAGAGGTGTTTCTAAGGTCTTTTAAGGTTTTGTGCAAAATTTCTATAGCTCATGGTGATTTCATTACATATAATCAATGAGGCGTCTTATAATAATTTATAAAAAGGTTTGACATTAACAATTAATTATTTATCAAGAATCAAGAATCGGCCAACCAAGAACGAGAAGCTGCAATATCAGCCAATATCATGCGGCGACGTCAATGATGCAGGAACAGCAACTTAGAATGGCAAACAAGCTGACGGCTCTCCTGATGGAAAGGGTAACCGTCGCCTATATACATGAGCAGTACCTAACATGTTCATATCAGCATATTGTTTCCCTCATGCGTTGCCATTCCTGAAAACTCGGGTGTTATTCCCCTGTACCTTGTAAATTCACTACCATATATATACACAGGTAGTCTATATAGATACATATACATATACACAGATAGTATACCCTGAGAAAGGTCATAGACTACTTTATAGTGAGAAAAAAGTATTTTAAGGGATTAAAAGCGGAGATGAAAGGTTGTATAAAAGTATCGTCATTGTTTAATTGAAACGAAGAAACTTGTTTAGGTTATAATTTAAATATATTTCCTTTATATGGTCAATTTCATTATACCACGCTGACGAAGTCGCGGACACACCTAATATACATATAAGGATGGGACCTTTAAATCAAAATAAAGCCTTGAAAACACAACTATTATATATAAATAAAATAATTATTTGCTAAGTATAATATTTAGAACAAGTGAATATGGCAATAATGTATCCGACTCTTATAATAAATTATATTGTATCTATTAATAAATAAACTGAATTAATATATAAGAAGAATGAATTAGTAAATTTATGTTATAGTAATTTCATCTTCCTGTCCTTATCCCAATTATTTGTTACTCATATTACTTAAGGTTTTGGCTTTTAGTTGTACAATCGGCCAGCATCCTGACATCAACCCTCTAGGAATAATATAATAAAAAAATATGGTCATTATTAGCACTTTGATAATTAAGATAAATCACGTTATTTAAAAAAATCCAATAAGTAGTTTATGTTACTCAGTTAAGTAGAAACATATCACATTATTAATTAAAATATTACAAGGATCAAAATGGTTCATACTAAATCCACACCGATTGAGCTACACGGTTATTTGCGTCTGTGTGCGTGTATTGCTGTGTGTGTGCGTAAATCCATGCGATTAAACCTAAAGTTGAGCGGCATCATTTTGTAATAGGCCTCTTAATGTTAGACATATACACCTACATAAGTACCTAAACAATGTAAATAAACTGGATTTTTAAGAATAGAAATTCTGTTGAGTTTCTTGCCAGTTCTTCGTAATTGAATCAGTATACAGAAATGGACGGTATTGAAAATTTATATTACAAAAAATTTTACGTTCATAAACGGCTAAAATATCCTACATGAATAAATGATTTTTTATTTGTTTTGACTTACCTCTGGCGTATAAACATAAGCGGCCTGGAACAGTCCGGCGATGATGCCTCGCGCCAAGAATAGGATGCAAGTGAGGAATGTCCGACTGTAATAATGTAAATGGTGGTTGAGTTGATGTCATATAATTGAATTCATATTTAACACATACAAGTACTGCGTTCAGCACACAGTTCTGAGTCTAAAAGTTGAAACATTTAATCATAAAAAAATATAGTTATTAATTGAATTTGTGGGTTGAGGGGGAAGGGTTAGTAATGTGGACTAATAACCCTATTGCGAACAATGTACCATGTTAGGTTGACCGCCTCGTGGATTCCCCTGGAAACCATTGTGATAAATTCATGGTGAATTTATCATGATGTATTAACTGACCTGACCTCATGCTCATATTGACGTGCCTCGCCAGCGTAAACCGCTAGCGCTAGCGGGGGTGTGCACTATTCCATTATCATCCATAAAAAATGAGTGATTTATCAGTTTAACAAATCAAAATAATATTACGTATCTCCTTATTTTCATTGCGTTTTTTAAAAAAATATGTTCGTAATGTAAAACTGTATATACCAAAATCCAATGCATCTCTCAACCACATACTATTACATATTTTAGTAGGAATGAGAAAATAAAACAGTATTAACTTACTTTCCGTTATATATGAGGACGCAAACGCACATGGCGAATATAATAAACTGACACGCCATTGTTTTTTTTCGTCCAAACTTTTCGATTACAAATATGGTGGCAAATATTCCTGAAAACATGATATTTTAAAATTTTAATTTCATTTTTATAATTCAATTTTATGTACTCAAAATATAAACAATAAATAATATCAGCTGTATATCTTGCCGTTACTTGTTTGTATTCGGGTATATTCTGTTGTATATGTATGTAAAACTAAAATATCTATGTGTGTATTTATTTCGTCCATTAATTATTGACTGAAAGAGTAACAAACATCCTTACATATTTTCGCGTTTATCTTAATTACAGGCAATAACATTTTAAATGGCGCTTGCATTAATATTAATGTAGAATCGAACAATCAAGTGGTGGCCGGCCGGCTTGTTTGCCATATATGTAGGTTCTAAAAACAAATACATTTTATAATGTTATATACCACGTTAATTACAGACTTTATAACAATCGGAGTCGATTTTTTTTTGTGTAAATAAAACCATAAATAGAATACCGGGGAACTCAGCGAGGGTTGTCCACAGGAGATCCATATAGTCGGTGGTATGTAGTGGCCGACAGTCAGCCGCGCACTCGCCCGCCTCGGTCGCACCGCCTGCTTCGCTCTCGAACAGTTCCGTCGTCATCAACACCAGGCCGTAGTAACAAAACGCACAGGACATCCTTTATAATCAGGGAGGAAATTGGCTTATTGATACTGGTAGTATTTCTTCTAATGCTGGGAATATGTTGACCAGGTGCTGGTCCTCAGCAACAGAAGACATAAACTATATAAAAAATTATAAGAAACGCGATTTACGCAGTTTTCAGTGAAGTGATGACATGTTAACTTATGACTTACCAAATAAACCACAGTAGTAGACTAGTATTCCTGAGGTGTGGTATGAGGAGGTGTTTTAATCGGCCGCGCTGACCGATACCGACAGAGTCGTCGCATACAAGTCGGCCCAGCAACATAGGACGTCCATTGTCTTGAGCGATCTGAAAAATGTAACATTCCATTAGTAACACCCATATATCATATCATATGGAATGAAATAGGATGACCAGAGCCGAGCCACCCATTAGGTCCTTCGTCGTCGTCCTTCTATAAGTCCTTCAGCGGGTTACATTTATCTCTTTACATTATTACCAGTCATATTAGTAGTAGTAGTTAGAAAACAAAAGTATAAATTTCATGTAATTAATATAGAAATGTAACAGGTACTTGAAAGAAAATTGATTAATTGATGTAAAGATAAAATAGGTGATTGAATATACTTTGATTCGGGAATGTGTGTATCAGATAACTAAAGAGGTACGTAATTTAAAAGTAGATGAACGACATGGGTACCGAAGGATAGACTACACTATTGTTACCCATAACTTTATCTGCAGAAAAAATTATCTGATTTCGCCTCGTAAAATATTTTTATCAAGTTAAATTAAGACCCGTTCTGATTTTTTTGGTAGTAAAAATTGAACATACGTATATAACGATACACACAATTACGCATTTTTACTACAAAAATGGATAACCAGGTAGGTCACATCCCAAATCCGTGTTTAATTTTATTATTGTTTAGTTGTGTCAGAAATTAAACTTAAATAAAAAAAATACCTGTTCTAATGTAGACAAAGCTTTATCTGGTTGTCCACTTGCGACATGGAACCTCGCAGATTCCGGTAGCCACTGTAAACAGAAAGATATTTTTGCTAATTAAGCTGCGAATTTTGTTGGTTTCTGTGCTTAAAAATTTTGTGTTGCATGCAATTCACCATTACTGCAATACAGCTCGAGCAAAGTTCGTGTTCTATGTTGTATCTATACCACTACAGTATTTATTTAATTAGTAAAACTTCTAATACAACTGTCACTCATATTTTCTGCACTGTTATGTATGCTACACAACAATTTTGTTTTACAAGTATAGAACAAATCTTATTGAATACCTACCGGACATATCAAAGCAAATATCAGCAGCGGTATCGTGGATAATGCGAGGAGCCAGTGAACACCCAGAGTCGGCATCACGACCAGCGCCAGCGCCACTTCCAAACACGCTCCTAACGCCCAAAAGCACTTAAAAATAAAAAAGAATATAATTTTCATAATTTGAATGAAGACACTCTTAGATTTATAATTTGAGGAATTTTATTTGTCTTTGTGACAATCGAGTTGCCAGTCTCTTAAGAGTATTGCGACATAAATAAATATTTCAATATACAATATATAGACACTTTATAAAAGTTGTCTACATCTGTCTGGATGTCTGCAGACCAGTCTCAAATATTTCAGCCTCCAACTATCTTGCTTTCTAAGTAATGTTTCGGTTGTATGCTGTGAAATTACAGGATTACAGGCAGGATATGTTAATCCACTAGAATGGTAACACATGAGTACAATGGGCCTCATAATAACATGAGATCCGTGCTGCTGCTCATGTATATTAACAATGGCTTGTTTGCTATTCCAGTTACTTGAAAAATATATCTTGGTAAGATATGGTATAATATAATATAATTTTTTTAGTTTATTACATCTAAGAAACACAAAATATAACTTACATCTAGAAGAACAACACATTTAGCTCTCTGTTTAGTAGGCAAAAATTCAGCATACAAAGTAACTCTGAAACAAAAATTTTGGACGTCACTTTACTTTGTATATAGCTTATTACATATATAAATACCATACAAAACCTCCACTGTAGTCTAGTTGTTTAGTACACCGCAGTACATGCGCTGGTAGCGCTATATGCTATAATTATAATTATAAACAGAATAATAGTAGAACTTATATAGTCATATAAACATGTCTTGATAAACAGAATACTGATGACACAGTTATTTAAGTTTTTTCTATACTATATAATTGAAGGTAGAATATAAAATGATAATATTGTTTGGTTTTGGTTTTGAGATTTATTGCATCTCAAAGAAATATATATATATAAGAATTTGATGGGGATAGTTGAGGTTATTTCAACAAGTTACTTTTGTTGGAATATTAAATTATATTTTTTAATAATTATATACAAATATGTGTAAAGTTTTGAGACTTACGATTGTGGAACACAGCCTATTGCAAAGCCTACAAGTCCACGTAGAAATAACAGCCACAGAAAATTTGGAGCTATGGCACTCAATAATCCATAGTAGAATAGTAAAACTCCGCACATGCTCAGTGCCTGTAAAATGTTAACAGTATTATGACTAAACTTTATTAGCAAAGCTAATGTTACTAAAGATTTATTAATTTATACATAATTAAATAGTGTAAAGTAGTCATAAAGAGATTGGCTTACGAGATTCCAAACAGGAATCACAATGGAATATAGTGTTTGCCATTTTCTATTACAATCATGAGCAAAAAATATAAAGGAATACTTACAGTTTTTCTTCCATATCTATCACTAATATTTCCCCAGAATGTTGAACTTAACATCATCCCCATAAAAACAACTGTTGTGGTTAAAGCTTGTTGATATCTGAAACAAAAGAATAATATACAGCACAAGTTAAAATATGAATGTATCTATCTGTGGTTGGTATTTATAACATAATTAACAACTTCCAACAACTTATATCTGCTCCATGGTCGACTGATATGTAATGACATGAGGTATTAAATCCGCCACATGCTTTTACTTGTGTATTATGTGCATTAATGTTATACAAATAATTTTAAAACCTGATAAATATGGTTAATAAGCATTCAATCACTGAGTATACTATACAATAAAATAACACTTTCTATTAGTAAAATAACATTCATAATTAATATTTCCCTATAGAAATATAACAAATTTTATCCTGATTTCAGTTTTATATGTGAGGATATTACACATATCCAATACTGCAGAAACATATTTTGTACAAACTAATGTTTTTATCTGCTGGTATCATGTCCTAAGAATGAATACATCTTTTGAACAGAGTGACAATATGAATATGGTAATTTCACAAATAATTTTAGCTTTAGATTTATTGTTATATAAACATATGTATATATAACATTTAATAGTATAATCAACAGTGTTTACACTAATGGTTTCCATACAAATTCTGATATGATTGTTACTTCATGTGTGGATTGATATAAATATTGTTAATGGTAGTGAATTATAGTAATACTAGCTTTTATCACAGCTTTTACTTCAGCAATTTTTTTGTGACAAAATATTAATTTATTATTTATCCTTATATAATAATGGACAATGATGTATTCTCATGTTAAATATAATTAGGGTCCAATCAGTTGTTTAGTTGTAAATATAAAAACACACAAATTTAAAATATTGGTCAGGATTGTTATTTTTAATTATTTATATTACTTGCTGATATTCCATTCACAGTGTAGAGCTGGTGATAATATGCTCAGGATTGTCATCTCCATAGAATCTGCCATCCAACATAGGCCAGTGCATAGAGACAGTTTCACTTGAAACCATCCAAATCCAAGAGCATTTACTGCTTGTGTCACTGTAAATGTGTCTGAAAACCATAACATTTGATTTATAGAAGACTAGATGTTAACGCGACTTCATCCGCATGAAATTAAACTTTATTTTTTCAAAATAAAAGTAGCCTAAGTTACTCCTTATTATACCAGCTATCTGCCAAAAAAAGTCCCGTCAAAATCGGTCCAGCCATTTCAGAGATTAGCCGGAACAAACAGACAGACAGACAGACAAAAATTGTAAAAAAAAGTTATTTTGGTGTATGTACTGTATTTATATTCATATGCATATAGTAAAAAACAGTTATTTCAATATTACAAATAGACACTCCAATTTTATTTATATGTATAGATAAATAATTTTACCATTACAATAAAAGATACATATTATAAAAATATGTATGTACAAAAATTGTTTCTTTGACTTTTATTACTACTACTATTATTTACATTATATTCTAATATTGTATATATAATCTAAATATAAAGAGGATAAGAGTAGCAGTGAAAGTTTGTCAGTTCATAATAATTATTACATACACTGTGATGTGTAATTACAATATTAATTACAACCAATTCAGTTGTAATATTTTACTTAGAAGGTAATTATGATCCTACAATGAACATGAAATATGGAATTATTCTAGTATATTCAACATATATACTAGAACAATTCCATATTTCATGTGTAAAGTAGTTAAAGTTAATGTTTAAAGTTCAATATTTCTAGTATGTAACTGAAGAGAATAAGAGGTAGAAAATGGTTTAAATGAAGGCCAGGCCAGCTGGTCATAGGTTAAATCAATAGAAATAATGGAAACTCATTAATAGTATAATGAGAGTAAATATCTTGATATATATATGTATATAATAATATATAGTTTAAAACAGTAGATATTATTGCATACTACATACCATCAGGAACTACTGTAACTGAAGCCATTTCTATCTCTTGCGGTGGAGGCATAGGCGGCGCAGGAGCCCTAGGGACCACCACAGCGCTGTCATCTAGGTCTTGGTATCCTTTTGCGCGGCGCATTTTACAAAATTATAGAAATATAAACACTTGACGTGGAATGCGAGACAACTGGATAACGGGAATTTATTGTTTCATAGTTTTATTCATCATATAATCCAACAATGCTTCTTAAAAATGCAATAAAATGAAAATCCAGGATAAACTAATTCGATTTTATAATATTAAACTAAATATTGATTATAAAAAGTCAAAATATAAAATAAAAACAAAAATTTGTTGTGGTAATGAAGTTCAACAGAAAAGTTTAGTTGAATTACAATTTGACATTGACAACGACACTGACAGCACTATGTGGCATTAATGATCCGCATTCTATCAAAATAATGTCTGCTTTATTCTATTTTTTAATTGGTTTACGGTTTTATAAACGTTTTTTGTTGTCATGTTTACGTTTTGAATGAATATAGTAATGGCTCGTGAGCCAGAAACAGATTATGGTGCCCCATTTCCTCCCGGTCGAGAACTGCTAAAGTTAAGATAGTGTATTATGAAGCCTAGTGAATGTCAATTTCCGTGGATGGGTTAAAGAATAGCGCCTTCGTAAATATGTATAAATAACAGTAGTTTCCTCTAGTAAAATAAATAAATAAAATAAAATGAATTTATGGTTTAATAAAATTTTATGTAACTCTAAAAGCTAAAACAATTTAATTCCGCCTTTTACCTTTTGTATAGGGCCTAGAATAAGCAAATTTATGTATGTAAAATAAATTTCCTAAAAAAGAACTTAAATATGTGGTGTACCTATAAAGTGTATTATTATTATACGCCAAATTATCAATATTTAATGAAATACCCTCTGTTGACATATAATCTGCCACGCTACAGCCAGCTGACTATTTTATTCTTCAGGTATAGGTATAATTATGATTTGATTGCAATTTGAACGTTTGTAAAACAACTATCCCAACTATTTTAGAGGTTCTTGACCAAAATGATTGACGAAGATTGATTGATGAAGTCTCTGGCTAGGGGATTTTCATTACACGCTCAAATTTCCATTTCTAAATTGTAAGATGATGTACTTATGATATGATGTACTGATGTACTTACATGATATAAAAGAATTGAACAAGTCTTAATAAGAATAAAAAAATATTAAAGTAATCATTGCAATTATGATCTCACAGATGCCTACTCCCATCACATCACCACACAATATGTTATAAAACACTTTCGTAATGTACCAAATGAAGAAAAATAAAATATACTAAAATATAATAATTTATTTTATTATTTTCATCATCAATTTTTTCATGATTTTATTTGCGACACTCTGATGAGTGTCGCAAATAAAATCATGAAAAAATATAGATACAGTGTGCCTACCTATATTAGCATTTGCTGTTTCAAATTCACATTTGGAAGCATAATATTATTCCTTGTTATTTCTATGTAGGAGCTAATTTCAAAGACGTAGTACCTATTTAAATGACTGTAGTTTTTTGGAACAATAAAATACACTGTTTTTTGGCCCTGTATAATTAAATTTTCTTTTTATAAAATCAATGTACCGGGTTTCTACAGCTTCACTGGCTGTAGATTCCGTCGTTATGAACATGTGGTTAGTGGAGGGGAAAAGGGATTGTTAGTAATGTGGACTCATTCCATTACTAGCAATGTACCAAGTCAGGTTGACCTCCATGCGGTGCCCCCTGCAAACCATCGTGATAAATTCCTGGTGACTTTATCACAATGGGCTAACTGACCTGACCTCATGTTCGTCTTATCATCCTTGACTAGTGCCCAGCGCAAATAGCGCAGGCTGCTGCACTATTCTAATATTATCCCTTTAAAAATATGGTTAGTAGTTTAACTATACACTCATTTTTTTAATTTTCTAGCAGAGAGGACAAATGAGCATGCTGTTCGTACTGCACGACACCTGCAACACCAAACAATCCAGACAAGTAGTCGGTCTTTTAGTTAAAGGTAGTTTCATTGTAATTTTATTATTTCCAAACAAACACCTATTTACTATATAGGATGAATGTTTAAACTAGACAGTAAGAGTAGCGGTAGTAGTAGAACAATATAGAAGAAAATTTTCCGTTCCTTTTTTGTGTCTATTTTTAACAGAGTCCATAGATTTTATAGAGTTAACAATCAGCCAGTAATCAAATGGACTATTCACATTATTTAAGAAGAATTATAAATATAAATTTCATAATTGGCAAAAAGTATCGAATGGGAATTCAACTTATGCATATAATAAAAGAATATTCCAGACGCCCTTTGGTGCCGCCCACCACAAAGACGCGTAGTTGCTACATGAAATTTTGAAGTAAATTCAGTAAATATATACACAATATGTATATGTACATTTGAAGTTGTGGTTGACAACTGTGGTTACTTTTTTGTTTTCATAGCAAACAGAAATGTGTAATTATTTCTACTTTCTGTCTACGTTACCATTGTAATTTGGAACCATGACTATTATCGGTTTTTTAAATAGACGAATATGGAATGGTGCTCCTGCTCACGCCAATATTTGGTTTTCAAGTGAGGCTACATTACTAGCAATTCCTGATCCCCTTAATATGGACAAGACAGGGATCTCTCTTTTTAAGAGATATGTTTAGTCTACTAGATAGTAGTATTACTGGGTGGCATCGTTAGTATATGGGGACCCATTGCCCGCTCACTTGTAATGTATCATGTCAGATTGACCTCGTCAGATTGTCGTCCTGAAAACTAATGTTAATTCCTATTAATTTCATGGCGATACTAAATTGACATCATGTTAATCCTGTCATGTCTCAATATCTCGGCAACACCTACGATTATACTTACTCTACGACTAGATCCCTATATACGTAGATAAGAATAATATAAATTGTATTTTTTATTTATTACATTCAGTAGGTGCCTATCTCTTAATCCTCCATCACTCTCACGGGGCGCTGTTAGCATCCAGAGATTTTTCAACATAAAATATATTATTATTATATATTGTAACGTTTTTTGTTTACGTTAATTACAAAAGACAAAATATTGCTATACTTGCATTATTGCACACATGTAAACCATATCCTTAATATTAAGGTAAGGTAAGTTTGAGTATAAGGTGGCCACAGACCCCGCGAGTGCTGATGGCGACAATAACGAACAAGTAATCGTGGGTTCACAGTGTTGTAATAAATGTTTTTTTAAACCATATTTATCATCATCTTTATTTAATTAATTTTACGCCGAAGCAGAAATTATTTCTGCTCTCAAGCTTTTGTTTATAGTCTACTATCATTTTAAGAGTGGGCTATTGTATCACTGGCCAATGAAGCCTTTTGGATGACAACTTATTCTGGGTAACGATGTATTTTATGTATATAATAATATATTATATGTAAATATATGTAAAATACATTATACATATAGATATACTTAGTTACTATGTATGTATATTTGATTAAAAGCAGATAAGATCTCATCAACTAGGTGTTTATCGACAACTAATCTATTTGATCTATATAAGTACCTAAGTACCTGTTAACAAATTATCGAGACTGGATAACAACCAGAAGATAAGCAACAGGACGTGGGCGTAACTGTGTGTTTTCTGACAAAATCGACTTGTAGGTGGGTGATATAGGAAAAGGTCAAAGGTTAAAGTAGGGAATAGTCTTATTTATTCACATTCTGAACAAATATACGTATCTACTTATTTGTGAATACTTTAATAATATCTACGTATTTGTGTTTTATGTGAATTTACCTATGAACTAAATTATGTCCTCGGCATTTTCTGTAGCCAAGGTCTCTGAAATCATGTAAAAGATATTCGTACATATCTTCAGAATATACGATGACACGACCGTTTTTGAGAAAATATATTTACACTAGTTATAAAATTAGGATTAGTTTATTTATTAGATAAAATTAGATTAAATAAGCTACGGACTAATCAATGCTAATAATTAAACATTTGTTGATCTATGCTGTAATTTGCTCTTTTTTTATGAGTTACTTGCATGTTCTGTGAATTTGGTGATTATCTGTGGGTATGAAACATCCTAAATGGTACATATAAAAAAAATATCATCTTTTGTATGTTCGTCTGTTTTGTTTGATCTTCTAATCTCTAAAACGGCTAAACGTTCCATACTAGATTTTGCTTTTGACCGATTTTTCTTTTCTTTTTTGATAGATTTCAAATGCTGATACATATCGTTGTAAGTTTATATTTATTCATATTGGTAGCTTCTCTATTGTATTTCGGTAAATTCAAATCAATAGTTAAAGTCTTAAAAATCATGTCATAAAATTAAATATGATGATGAATATATTGACTGAATAAAATGTATTTGTATATAGATTTTACCGGATACTACATATTTTTCAACGTAATCTAAGTCTATGAATATAAGTAGGTATAGGTACTAGGTATAGGGTAGGTACTTATTGATAATTTTACGCCTGATAGACTAGCCGTTTAGGGCAGATCAATGCCCTTATTATTGGCATTTAGTATAACATAATATATATATTACTATGGAATAAAAAAAAAGATTTTCTCAAATCGGTGCAGTGGTTCAAGTGACTCACAAAAAACCCTCTGTCAGCTTTTTATATTATTATTAACATGTATATTAGTAGTGTAGGTAATAATTACTATTAAATGCATATTATTAGATACAGAAGATGCCCCATGTTAATGAACCGGTAATAAAAGAACACCACATCCACCCTTCCTTTATCTATTAGGAATCTTCTGGGAATATTGTAATACTTCTACATATCTAGGTATAATAGCTTTATTACTCGCGTTTACGTCGCGTATACGTTTACTGCTTTTTTAAGAAAAGTGATTTATATCCGTCCTCTTGATACAGTATATTTTCTAGTGAAATTTCCTCGAAAGTAAAGCCTTACTGAGAATTTAGTCAGTATATTGTTTCGCTGTTTGGAACAGGATGAAACGCTGTCTATTCTTAACATTTCACCCGACGAACTATTATTCTAAGTTCCTGTATTGTACACATTATATCAACGGTATTTATCATTATAATATCATCCAAGAGCTCTCGATATTCAGATGCTGTTCCAAACATCCTGATCACAATTATCGTCGTAAATACCTTCTTTATACAATGTGTAGAGTAATTGTAGATAACCAACCGTAAAAACAGTTTAAAATAATTTTATGAAATTAGTTTAAGTTATTAAATAAATTTGTCTAAATTACTGTATAAAGTGTCATGAAACTAATATCATTATGTAACTTACGAGTACATTTAATTTTTTTTTACTTTATAAATTTTAACAAAGACTACCTACATATTTTTAGAGAAGTTTCAATGTTGAAATTTCTCTATTGTGAGAGTTAGAAGGTTGTTGGTATGTTTAAGATTTCTGCTAATAAATATAAAAACATATGAAGTTAGTTTTACGTAAAGTTTTGAAGGCTGCAGGAAAAATAAACTTTCTTTCAAATAATTTTTTTAACATATATATCGAAGTAAAAAAATCTGAATAATATTTCATAATTGATGAATAAATAGTGTTCTTTCTTCGTATTTTTCATTTTTATTTATTTGCTTTGAATAGGCTACATTACTGAATGAATAGACTACATTGCTATTTTTATATGTAAGAATGTTTAATAGTGCATTTTAGTTACTTATATACGTTCAGATTCAATACATATTTGATGTCATAAAAGGTATGTGGGGAGAAGTATATGTAATACACATGTATATTATAGAGGGAAGAATAAGAAACTTATTTTTAGAAAATAATAGAATAATCTGTGATGATACACGATTTTATCATAAACCTTTCTGTCGTAACTTGTTAAATATATTAATATTATTATAAAGAGGTATAGTTTGATTGTTTTAATGGATAAACCGTAAAACTTCATGACCGATGTTTAATTTAATCCATTTATTTATTTATTTATCGTTTGTATAGGACTAGAGTAATATTGGCCATATAATATGTTCATATATACAAAACCCACAAAGTTATGATCTGAGCGAAGCCGGGGGTGGGCGACTAGTATATTATAGAAATAGTAGTATTGAGAAAGTATCAACAAACAATATTCACTTCTAAATATGGATATAAGTATATTGTACGGCGGTACAGTTACTGGGAGAATCGGAAGATAGTTTATTTTCACCGATTTAATGAAGTACTACACACCTTCAGATTAACGAATCAGGTATCTATGTATGGTCATCGAAATCACCTGTAATTATTTTACAATGAATAAACTGATTTACTTTCAAATTTCAGGCTTACAGAGACAAGTTGGTTATATTTTTATTACATTTTAAACAATAGATAGACTGACGGATAATATATGGCGTGCATGGTTGGTGCATGCTAGGTTCTGGTAATTGTAGTTAACATGCAATGACTTATTGGTAGAAGAATTTCTAGTCTAATAGAAAAACCAAAGGGTACATAAGCTCTTAGTCTGTTTGATTGACACCTGAGACATATGGTCCTCCATTTCTTTTTCGTACTTTAAATAAATGATAGAATCATAATAGAATTGCAAACAGCAACAATTCTTTAAATATTTTTTACACTTCAAATGATATAAGGATCGATGTCTGTATTGAAGCTGAACTATCAGGTGGCGATAATAGGACTTAGCTTGCTATAATTCATCACTAGAATATTTTCTAGCCTTACAGAAAGATCGATTCACAGGGTTCAAGAGCTCTTGGACTATAATTATATTATCAGCGACCATGCTGATTATCGATTATGCTTGAATTATGCTTGATATATGAATGAGGATCGTTTAAACAAATTCGATCGTCTTCTCAAGAACTGTATATGTTACATTTTCGGTCTTAACAAGTCCAACTATATCTCTCTTACCGCTATCAGCTAAAATGGCTTCCCGACGCAGATCTGTCCATCTCTTGTGTACTCTTTATTCATAACTGTACGATCCAAACTCACCTGAGTATCTTAATAACATATTCCGTTTTCATGGGAATATTTCTTTCTATAAACTTAGTGCATCTAGGAATTTACTTCTGCTTGTTTCTGCTCATCGTACGAGCTTCATTTCTAGGCTATAAAATCCTGGAATGACTCCTTGAATAGTATATGTTACACATAATATTTATAAATATTGTGTATATTAATGTGTAATTATTTATTTCATAGTACATATTATATACGATTATGCATTCGTTTAAATCTGAATCATAGTTTTTTTTATATTGTTATTTTGTAATAGCTGTGCCCGCGGCTTTATCCGCGTGAAATTTGTATCTTGTAAAATATGTTATTCTGATGTATAACCTATATTACTGTAAAGTTTCATCAAAATCCGTTCAGTAGTTTTTGTCAAAAATAACAATGTACTTATAAACTTCAGCGTTTATAATATTAATAAGATTTATATACATTTTTTCATTACTTTTTAAATGCACTGCTCACATAAATCTCTGTTTACCCAATGTTTGATTGGGAGAATAATACTTCAAGGTAAGTCTGCCATATGTTTGTATATGTATGTATAGTGCATTAAAGTTTTAATAAATATATAAATTATAGAACATAATCTTCAATTTAATTAAATTATATAATAGGGACATACAGGCAATTAAAAGAGGTTTTATATTGAAGTGGTATTTATTTTTTCATCTTTTTTTCATAATTTAGATACAACATTGCTATTATGTAGTTCCCTAATAATTGGACTCCTATCCAAAGGTACTTGTATTTTTATGAAAATAATACGCCATGTATTAAAATATTTTGATATCTCTACAAATTATAAGGGAATTACCATTATATACTGTACGTACATTATTCTGAGCAATCGATTATTATTGACCTGAGTAAATTATTAACAAAAAAATTATATTTAGGGTCACATAAATTATAATTATTATGGAATTATATGCAAATAATTTACATGTATTATCGACAACTAATTTTAACATCAACTAGTAATACTTTACAGGTCATATGTATCTACTAATTATTTTATTACAAACTAAGTTATAGGATTTGGTTAGATTCTATCTAATCAACACAGGTATGTAAGTAATTTGACATTATATAAACAGATATGTACTTTGTAAGATACGTTACCTACGTTTTAACGACGAATTCATTGTTGCGAGAAATATTAGGAAATCGCAGTGGTACAGAAAAATAGCGAATTCGAGGGAAGTACTTAATCACTAGTTAAAAAAGCTAAGGATAACTTTCAATTTTGGATTAGGTCAATGAAAAAGATAAAGGACGCAATAATTTTAATATTTTCATTAACGTCTCATAGACCGCCCGTATTTCAAAATTTTAGTTAAGAAGCTGTAAAGCTAAAATATCACCTAATCCTCAGCATTCTGTGAGAATCTTTATTACAAGTATATATGTAGATATATTATACATAGTATGTATATTATTATATAATAATATATATGTTACACTTTGCTTTGCAAATAGAATTTGTGGTATTGTCAGCGTAGACCATTGTAGTGTGAAATTATAATAGCTATTAGCACCTGGTTATAGAACAGGTACAAAATACATGTAAAAGGAGATCAGATATCAATCTGAAAAAGACAAGTATGAGTAACAATACTATACCTAATAACAATTTACTTATTTTTGTGTTGCTGTATGATACACTTGAAGAGATGTGTTTACCTATTCATATTATGCTATACGGAAAAATGCCCGTACTACAATTATACATTTCATATATTTTGTAGGTAAATAAGTACATCTCTTTTAATACATATTTTGAAAGATGGTAGATTTATATAAATATCGCTTTAAAATGATAACGAAATATTTAGGCCGCCAGAGATAAATAACAGTCTATTTCTCGTTTTTCCGCACTAAAATTGATGATGTTCAGAAGCTTTTATCATTCACAAAAGTGTCACTTGATCAAGCTCAATTAGATGTTGTTAACTTATAAACTTACAATTTAAGTATTTTAAAAAAATACTCATTATCTTGCGATTATTTTCACAAATTTCGATGAATTAATTTCTATCTAAATAATAATTAAGTCTTAGACAATCAGTACCTACAAATATTTACAGATGCACACTATGTTGTGCGATATATTAGCTGCCAATTGAAGGGAGCAACTTTTTCTTAATAATTATATATATATGTATATATATATTTATATCATGCATATACAGTCAACTCATTCTATAACGGATATTATAGTCATATTTTGTACGATCATTTACTCTCATAATCATCAACACGTCCTCTCAACTCTAATCTGTAGATACTGCATTGAAGTTAAATACATTAGATATTAACCGAGAATATTAAAAATATTTTAAATGTATTACAAAATCGAAAAAAGATCCTAATAGATTAACTTTTTTGTCAATAATTCTTAAATTATTAACACGAAAATGCGTATAGACAACGTTTTTACCGATCTGTGTAATGGACATAATTTTCATGCTAATTTTTTTAAGTTATTTTGAAAATCTCGCGGCTGTTTCCCATTACGTCGCCGTGGTCGATATCTATTTAGTCTACATAATACTCAGTCTCATATTTGTTGGCGGTGATCAGATGCATCTGTTTAAGTTGCAATGCGATGTTTCAGACCACGTAGTTCTACGACGAGGTCTCTATCTCCCGCCACAAAGCGTTTATCGATCCTCCGTGGTTTCGTTGATTCCTGTGTACAAAATAGGAAAATGTTAAAACAACGACCTTGTCTATTAATAAATGAAAGTCGAAAATGTGTATAGATAGTGTTCTATAGGTGATATTTAGTGTTAGTACCCTTCCCCCCACTGTTTGACCCGGCCTCTCAGCCTGTTCGTGTCACCCGCCACCCCCGGCCCGGCCATGCTATTTTTAGACTTCGGGGTTTCCACGGTCTTAGTAAGTTCTAAAACAACCGTGAATATTTCTTATAGACAAGATATATTAAACAAAATATTATGTATTAATATACAAACTATGTAACAAAAATATAAAAACCATTGTGTATTTAAATAAACGAATATGGTTACTTACTTGTTCAATTGTGTTCTTGGATTTATTCGCTAATAATTGGGCAATTGTGTCATAAAACGAAGCATTTCTTTTGTTTTGTGTCGTACGATGATTCTGATGTGTTTGGATTTGTGCTGGTCGGAGCATGACTTCTTCTTTCTGACCCAATTTAGGCATCTCCGTGCTGGGGATAGGCGCGGCAGTTGTAATGCTTCTCTTGTTACCGTTCCAGTTTATGAAACCATCATCAGACGAATAATCTTCATCTTCAATTCTGGGGACTGTTTTGGGTACATGGTATAGAGGTTTTCCCGCCAAAGCCTTTAGTTCACGTACATCTTCGTCTTCGGTGTCTCTTTCCTCATAATCAACAGGCGGAAAGGCTGCGCGAGCATTCTCTCGGCGTCTCTGTGCATCCTGAGCCATTTGAGTCAGAATTAAATTATCTAAGAACGCCGCACTGACATCATCTACATCGTTAGATCGCCAACGAGGTGTAGAGTCGCTTTCGAACCATGTCTCCTGTCCTATAGGCAATGCAGCGAGTCTCTCTTCGTGCCTCTTTGGAGCGTCATTTGCCATGAAATGGTCATATGGGTCATAATAATATGGGTATGGTACTTGTCCATAAACCTCAGGTACACTTATTGCTGGGGCATCATAGTAATATTGAACTTTTGGAGCATAATAGTATTCGTCATCGGGATATTCTCTAGCCGTTTGTGGGTACATGGGCCATCCTTGCATTGGGTATGAATTAGCTTGTGCTATTAAATAGCCAAGTAAGACTGTCAACATTCTACAAAAAAAAGTTCAATTAATATACAAACTTCACTATTATTCGTTTTACAATAAAATACACTTTAATTTCTGACTGATAATATGGGCTAATATTTTTTGTGTATTAAATTTACTAGTAACTTTAATATTCATAAGTAATTATAAATACCTATATAACATTAAAATATTTAAGGTATAATTTCACAATATTTTTATTATTTAAAATTCTAATGGAAACGAATAAATAAAAAAATGTATACATACCTTAAACTCGAAAGTTGCATGTTGCACATTTTTTACACTGTCTGCTGTTAGCTAGGGAGCGTTTGAAGCACGACTACGTAGGAAGGAGGGTCGGGCGGCTATATAAGCGCGTCGCCCACGCTCGCCGCCCACACGTTCTGAATGAACCCCCCTTAGTATCCCCAGCCTTTCCCAACCCCCAGGTTTGCCGACTCCCTACTCCCCATACTCCGCGCTACACTGCTATCGATCGGGCCCGCAGATTATATTCATCTTGCAATTCTGTAACACTCTTTTCCGGGCTTTGACGTTAATTCGTAGACGATATATTAGTAGTTTTATTATAGAATGTATTTTCAATTTAATTCTTAATGCATCATGCGCAAATATTTTGGTATGTTATCAAATGAGACACAAAACTAATGAAAAATACTAAGTGCCACTCCGCCCACGTAGTTACGCAGTTGGATGCTGTTCGTAGTCTGTTCGTTCTATACTTAATTCCTTCGTAGCATTGTGAATCATTTTGTTTTCGTGTATTCTTATGTCATTAGTTATCTTATTTTTATGTACCTAGTTCTACTAAACCGATTTTTGTTAAGGTTAGGTAGGCAAGTCGAAGTCAAATATTGGTTGAACATAGGATATTTGACATCATTGGAACCTCTAAATAAAAGTACTGGGCAACATCAAGTTAATTTACTTGCCTTAAATGTTGTCTATGTATAAATTAGGGTTAGCACAATTAAACCCATTTTATACAAAATGCTGGCTTGCTTGTAATTTCCTTGATATATGAAAATACTAACTGACCCGCGCAACTTTATCTGTATCAGACTTACTTAACATTTATCATTTTTGTCGCCAAATTCACATAATATCTTTTTAAATTGTAGCCTATGTGTTATTCTGATGCATAAGCTATAATACTGTAAAGTTTCATCAAAATCCGTTCCGTAGTTTTTGTGTGAAAAAGTAGCAAACATCCATCCATCTATCTATGCATCTATATTCACAAATTTCGCGTTTATCTTATTAGTAAAATTATTATTATCATCAGCCTCTACGCTGTAATAAGGTAATGTATATAATTATTATAAATTTGTCAAAATATTTATAATATCTTTATTAGATAATAACAGAAGTTAAAATAGAAATCACGTTCGAATAAAACAAACAGGTATGTGATGTGTTAGTTCTAAATTGACACCGACTTGGGCACAATCCGGGCGTTCACGAAAAATAGGTTACGAATAAGATTGTAGGCACGTATCTATTGAATACAAGCCGGTTATTTTGGGCCTCAATGGCTGACTACGGGCCCTGAAGTTCTAATTTTCTGTACTGAACTGTGGCAAATATAAATAATGTCTTTCAGGTACCTGATTAGATAAGGTACTATGATATATTAATTTAATAATTTCTTTCCATTATACTTAATTAATGCAGAGGTCTATGTCCAGCAGTGGACTGCAGTGGGCTGATGATGATGAATACAGAGTTATACCAAGCCAAAAGCCAGTAGAATATTTATAAAACGACAAAAAACTTTAAACCTTTTAAATGTTATTTTTAAATTTTCTACATATACGCGCCTTGAGAAAATATTATTATATTTTATTATTAATAGGTCTGGGGCTTTTGGCTTATAACCTTTACTAATCTATAACCGATACAATAAAATAATTACCGCGGTAGACTTTGTAAAAGTCTGCGTGGGTATCTTAGTCTCACATATTTCAGCCGCGACGCACATTGTTTTTTAAGCAACAATAACATATTAATAACATTGGGTTTCTATTTTAGGGTGAGATTAGGCAGTGCAATTACAGGATAAGAGGCATATTACCTTAGTCCTCTGGAATGGCATCACACAAGTATCACATGATAATATGTTATTTATAATATAGACGACGGTTAACATTACGTGGACTGTCTATTTGAAATGCATTTTTGACATTCCAGATACATAAAAAAATTGCAATTTTAGTACATAAATAGTATACATATAACCAGCACAGGTACCATATGAGAAGTCCTTCATATTTTATTTGTAGAATATGTAATATGATTACTATATTATTTACCTACTTTTTATATCATCATTCATCCTGATTAAAGTGAGCGTATCATGTTTTTTTCTAATTAGGCTATAATTTATTACAAAAGTTATCGAAAGCTGTTATATAAAAATACAAGAATTTATTGAGATATATCTGTATAGTAGACTTTAGATGAGATTAAATTTTAGATAATATCATTAATAGTAATAATCAAATTAATTGTAAATAATATAATCTTTAAATACGAGTACTGTAATAATCATAATTTATAACGATACTTGTTAAAATTATGATTATTGCTGAAATTATACCCAACTGCTTTATACAGTTTATGTAATAGTAAAGGAACATATAGAGCTGAGTTTGTATGGAAGTACAGGTACTTACAGCTTTCGAGAAGTGGTCCATGGGGTAGGTCGGGAGATAGGGAGGTATCGAGATTTGGGTGCAGTCGAAGTGCATCGTCAGTTTCGGTACGGAAGTATATAGTCACAAACATGGGATCAACGACCGAATGGCGCCTTTTCGGCGTCGTTGCAAGTCGATACAATGCAAAATTATATAACTACCCCATATCTCATAGAAATATTTGACACAGGTAAAACTTTTATACTTTTTTAAAAAACGCTAATATTAGGTATATGACAGACTTATAAGTTTGCTAAATTAGGATTAGTATAAATAACATTTTTCTGGAACTAATTGTTATAGCTTTATTCTAATGTCATTGTAATCGCAAACAAGCTGATCTCAAGGTAAGTGGTAACCGTTTTTTTTACAGTACTTTTGTCTATATTGAATTATGAGTGTTATGTTCTCATAAGCTAAATAAAATCAATGTCATTTATTGCAACAATAAAATTTTTTGATACTGAGAACTTAGATTAAAATGACTTATGTGAGAATTGTAAAAGGTATGTGAACACATATGTGACACATTATACTCCATTCGATAGTCAGTGATTGCTTATTAACTATATGTTTATATGGTACTAAAGTAATAAGTTAATAATATCTTACTCGTCCTCATCTAAAATGGAAACACAATAGTAATAGAATTTTGAACATTTATTACATATAGAGGAAAGTGAGTCTTAAAAATTTGAGATTAATTTTAAACGGGATGTAGCAACTAACACTTACAGCACAAACCATCGTGGCTTAACCGTGCAACATCTGTTACGTTATATATCGATATTGATATTTATTCATAGGAATTATACTCGTATTATCTGTTATGCTCAAAACTCGAGATCTTGTATTATACACAAATACAAATACACAGTAAAGAGATACACGTTTCAACACCTTCTGAAAATCATGCTCCAGTTGCCTGAAAGCCTCCCGGAGTAAACAATCAATCATTTATTTACCTACCATCATATTATATAAAGCATAGTATACTTATATATAATTGTTATTCTAAATCTGCAATAATTACTTAACAAATTTATTATTATATAAATTGTGATTAATTATTTATCAGAGGAATTTAGCTTACATAAATAAATAAACATATAACTAAAAACAATGTCGTCTAAAACTGGGGTTTATTTCAGATTATGTTATTTATGTTTTAAGCCATTATTTGTCATACATTATCATTATTTGTCAAATTGATGATTAATTAAATTACTTAAAGTTCGTCTTACAAATATATTATATTATAGGTACATAACATACGAGAAATGCTTATACCCTGTCAAGCCGACCCGGCCAAGTAGATGTAGGCCCGGTCCAGGTGTACAAGTAGATTGCATTCTATCTGTGTCAAGCCACTAAACTAGGTCGGGAGTTCAGCTCTATGATGATGTTCTATATCTGTTAGTTTTACCACAATGTATTGTAACCAAGTTTAATAGTTCTAAAAAAACTGACAATCAGTCGTTTTCAATTAGTTGAAAAACATGGAAGATTTCTCCTTTTATGTGAGTGGAATGCCAAACAACCTATCGTCCGACCTAATTTTAAGTGGTAACCATTGCCCATATATGATAACAAGACTACGGTTATTTACATCGTCAGGTAATGCTAGTGATACATATCGGAAGACTCGTCGCTTTGTACAAATTCTACTAGTTTTTGATATGAATTGAGTATGTCTAATTTTAACTAAAATAAAAATAAGTGTGATCTATTGTCGAAATGCAAACATATATACATGTAACATATGTAACATATAGTATATGTATAACGAAAAGGAAGTTTCCAAATATTACGTAGATAAATAGTAATAAAAATTCCGATATCGTAATTTTTTTATTATTACTGATATTTTATTAGTTTTATAGTGATTAATTATATCTTTATTCCCAAAATAAGATGGTAAAGCACGTCATTGCAAGTACTGAATAGGGATGAAAAGATGAGTTAAAGATGTTATATATACATGTAATTAATAATTAGGGAAAATATTTGCATATTTACACGTACAGTTATAATGAAGTATCTTATAAAATATTGAATACCGCAAACATTGTACAAAACCCGTGGGCTTTAATAACACAAGAAGTTGGAGTTTGTTTTTACTAAAATCCATTTCCATTTCCCTGGGGAAATAAAATCTACTTTCATCATATTTTGAATCAAAAGAAAAACTCAACAAATTCAGAAATTCACAAAGTAACTGAGTTTTGGGTTACTTGTTTATTGAAGGAATGTACTGCTTTCATGTATATAATTATATATATTTCATTTGATTGATTAGTATGACATAGTACATCTGACTGTTAGCTATTTTTGCTGGTAGAGAATGATAAGACGAGAAGCATATCAAGTCATAATTTTTGAGAATTAAGCACATTAGTTTCTAGGCTTTCATTCGTTTATTCCTGAGGTTTTTATCCCATAAATTCTTCTGTATTTCTTATTATCTCCTTATATAAGAAACCATAACTGAGAGATTTAATCAGTTGTTATTGCGGTTAACACTGGTAATTTCATTAATCTATACGACTATAAAAGAAGTAACGCTGACCTTTCACATTTAGGGAGCTGTTACATAAGAACCACTTTCTGTAATAAAGGGAAGAATACATGGACATTTTTCTGGAATCCTTGGTAAACGAATTTGGTAGTAATAGAGTGATTTGTAGAATTAATGAAGTACTTTGGAGATAATGTGTATATGTGTTTAGCTAGTTTAGATACAACTACAGAATCTGTTTTATATAACGTGTAATTATATGACTTATATACGCCTAATTCTTTATGTATACATCGTATACGTCGCTTGAGGCTGACAATTATATATAACATGCCCATTATTATAATAAATTTTCTCGGAAAATATTATAACAATACTTTTTAAGATTTCGCTTCCACGTTTTATAATATGAAAATGTTTCAACATTGTTTACTTTGTTTGGAAATTTGCGATTTTATTATTTTCTTTGTATGAGTATCATTTTAATGAACAACGGTTTGAAGACCACGCTATTGTAATTAGAGTGAATTTCGGTTTCAAAAATAATTTCGCTTACTTTACAATAATGTTTCGATTGGTTTATTTTAATTTACCTTGTTTTGTTTTACTTGTTTTACCTTGAATTATAATTACGATACTTAAAGTATACCTACCAGCATTTATTTGCATTTATAAAATAGAAATAGACGTATCTAGAAGCCTGAACATATCCTTTCCAAAAAATGTAATGTACCTGTTTAACAAACTTTAATGTTTCTGAAAAAGAATACCATAGTTTCACACAAAAATGTTTTGTTTTAATTAGAGCTGACTTGGTGAATATCTTGATAATTAATCTTTGAACACAAGTGATTGCAAATATGTGGTACTGAAAACAAAGTTGATACATAGATTCATACAAAAAATATTTTGTTATCTGTATTTTTCACATAATTTCGATTGCTGTAGTTTCATGATGGTACACGAATCACCTTATTTTTTTCAGAGGACTTGAATTAGTCTGAGTTTAACAGGTATTACGTTAGGTAGCTTGCATTATCCAGTAACCGTCAGGATTCGTTGCAAATA